GGCTTAGCCTATCGGGGTACGGTAGGAGGAATAGTCTATCTAGTTAGTATGAGGAACGGCGTAGGGACAGGACCCACTCACGGTACGATCGGCTGGTTCCTAGCGCCTAGGCGCGCGACGATCGTCGGGGTCCTAAGCTCTAGCACCTATAGCTACCGCCGATACGGCGCCGGCTTCTATAATAGGACTATTTAGGCCTAGAGCGCTTATAATAATAGTATGGAAGCTGCGAGGTAGTATACGAGTTTACTAATATCGTGGTAGCCACTATGCGGTATCGAGATAGTAGGCGTAAGAATAGTTAAGGAAGAAGAAAGTCGCTAGGCGTGGGACCCATATACTCGCGTTAGGGAAAATCGTGTGGGCCGGGGTGGAGCCGGTCCTAAAATGGACGATAATAATAATAAACGCGGGTCGTGCGCAAGCTACCCTACCACTACTATATAACCCCTGGCCCGGAGAGTAGCCGGTCCTAAAACGGATAATAATAAAACGGGACGCGCGGTTCGTGCGTAGGCTACCCTACCTTTACATGACCCGACGTAGCACGCCGTAATGCGAGGAGCCTACCTCCGCCACGTGACCGCTAGGACGCTACTATAAAAAGCTACTACCTTGCCAGAAGGAATATATAGCCCTACGGTTATTATATAGTATGATATAAAGACCGTAAACCCAAGACCCAACCGAGCCGGTTATCATTATATAAAACACTAAGCCGGTCCCTAGGACGATCCTAGAGAACAAGGGTATGTTATGGACTTCGGCTTTACCTTATCTCTAGCATCATATAACGGAGCCGGGATAGATAGAGACTAGTATAGGGGTATCACGTGACCTCGCTTAAGACTATACTTAAAGCTATAACCATACGGCTTATCCCTATACTCACTAAGTTAAATCATAATATATCTTGATTACCATTGCAGCAACACCTTGGTTATATCCATTACATGTTATAAGGAGGCGGGCTCCACGCACCAACCAACTATACTAAAAGGACCGAATCTTGAAGCTACTGCTTTAAGGGTGGAGTACACTACTTATATACGACTACTACACACATATATAATTAACTAGCAGGCACGTGCCTAATAATATCTCCCCTTTTCGAAGGCGCGTGCCCTTACACGTCGTGGGTATCTACCTTATGAAAGATAAACTAGCTATAATAGGCCTAGTATAAATGAATCATGTGTATACCTAATTAATACTCGTAATGCCGCCTCTAGCACTAGACACGCTAACTTACTATAGTAACGTTACTACTATGTTATCCGTCACGTACATAAAGTATACGTAACGTGGTAAGCTAAACGAAATCGTGCGAAATTCAATAATAGTTAACTAGACCGAGAGTTAAACCTATAACCCCGTAGTAGCTTTAAGATTATATAAGGAGGCGGGCTCTACGCACTAACTAACTATACTAAAAGGACCGAATCTTAAAGCTACTACTTTAAGGGTGGAGTATACTACTTATATACAACTACTACATACATGTATAATCAACTGGTAGGCACGTGCCTAACACGTGTTCGTAACTTATACTTTAATAACCTCTAGGAAGAGCTTATAGCGCTCCCTAAACTCCCTCTATATAGTAGATAGATAGCTATAAGGACCCCTAAGGGTCTCGCGGACGCGAAGGTTATTATATATATCTTATATATATATAGGAACCTAAGAATATATTAGCGCGGATAACTTTAGATTATACTAGACTAAGATAGTCTATTATACTTACCTATAGATAAGTCTTACTAGTTATAGTATAGCGGCGGTAGCGGGTAGATAGAGTAAAGATAGGGCGTATAGGCCCGTCGCGGTTAGTAGAGTAGTAGCTAATACTAGAGTTAGAGCGAAAGAGATATTTAGAGCCGGCTATATAGCCCTTAATATACTTATAGTATATCGAACTATAGTTCGCCGTTTTTCTATAGCGTAAACCGTGACCACGTTTAGTATCCTTAGTAACCTAGACCTTATTATTAGTAGGCTAGGGTTTAGAGCGAATATTAAGGTCCTAAAAGGATCTAGAGTAACTAAATCGGTCTATATTAGACCGGAAGGGAGAGCGGCGAGGCGGCGGCGTAGATAAGCGTAAGGGCTCGCGATTATCATCTATAACGAGATCTTCTTCATCCTCTAGAGGAGGTAGAGTAGACGGCGTATACGTTAGAGTAAGGGGAGAACTTACGACCGCTTCATCCATAAATTTAGTACTAGAATTACCTAGATTAGAGCGACTAGTGGCTATATTAGTAGTAGAGGTAGAAGTAGTAGTAGTAGCCCTAGCTACCCTCTTCTCCGACTTAGAGCGCGCCTTTATACTACCTTAATAGGTAGGCTTCTTAGCCGGCGTAGCCGGGGAGGAGGTAATACCTTTAGAGCGAGTCTTATAAGAGGAGGAGGTAGGCTTAGAGATAGGACTAGTATTAGACATCTATATACACACGTTAGCTAGAGATCTAAGGAAGGAATATTCGTCCACCCTTAACGGTAATTAATAAAGCTAAATTAGTAACCGTAATAACGCGAATAGGTTATATAGGACCGGTTCTAATAAGAATAGACTATAATAGACCCTTCTAAACCTAAACTAGGGAAGATAGTATATAAATTAACGACTTACCTTAAGAGCGAGGTAGATATACTAGAGAATAAAATTAAAGGCGAGCGAAGCTAAATATATACTTAACTAAAGTAGTAATTATATATTCTAGGTAGTAGCCACGAAGTAAGGGATGAGCGCGTATATAAACTAGTAAAAGTAAACTAGAATCTCGAGTTTACCTATATTAAGGATGGTTATAACGTTATAGGAACTTAGTTACGGATATATAGATATACGATAGATTATAGAGACTTAGAATTATATATACTTAAGTACTTCGGGGCAAAGCATAAAAAGAAAAAGGATATTATTAGGACGGGAACCCTAATAGATCTATATAGACTATTCTAATCCATATAGCCACGTAGCGGCTAGAGCTAGGATGAGTTAGCTGGGTTAAGCGAGGTTACTATATAAGTAGACCGTATAAACCGATTCCTACTCGTTAGGAATCAACCTCGTATAAGAGTAAGACTACTCTATAAATACATTCCTATGTCTCTCTATAAACTATTAGACTACTATCCTACGTCTTTACTCTTTATAACGAGAAGCTATAGACCCCTTTCGCTTTACGGGAGTCTTCTTAACGACCTTATTAGGACTTTTAAGGTCTATAATAGCTAGCTTAGAAGTTATAGAGCGAGTTTTAGGGCTGTTAAACACCTTTAATAGAGTTCTTACGGTACTACGGGTCTTTACTAGAGTCCTAGGTATTCTAGGACGAGAGCCTAGATAAGAATTAGGAACTAGAATCTTAATATAAGACTTAGCGACTTACCTTTCTTAGTTACCTTAGAAGTAACTATATCGCCGAGCTCGTTAACTTCGATTAACGTATTACTATTAAGGTCTAATAACCTAGAGCTTTCTCTATCTTTATTTTTAGAATAGAAAATATTATTAGAGTCTTCCGATAGGTTCGCGAACCGACTAGCTTTTATAGGGGCTTTAAAGGGCTTATTAAGGGTAATTAACGTAGACTCCGGACCCGTAACTTTACCTAGAAGATCTATATAGGTTAGCGGGATTCTTATAGAAGGGTATATTAAACGAATTACCTTCTACCTTAGGAAGAGGCTCGTTAATAGCTATTACCGATCCTTAAGAGGCCGGAGCCTTAACTTCAGCCTTAGAGACCTTAGGTTTAAGACTCTAACCGCCTTCTTTAATTAACTAAGCTAAAGCTTTATCTTCTAGGTCTAGTTCTTAAAAGAATAGTAAACTCTAAGGCCCGTTCGGATATAGATAGCTATAGGCTATCTTTAAGTAACTCTTATGAACTATATAGTTAACCTACACTTAAGGAATAAGGTAACTTAATCTACTATCTAGAGCACCTTTATTTACCGCTAATACTTTATTAAGTAATAACTAGTTAGGATTTCCGTACGGAGGACCTAAGAAAGCATGACGAAGATCCTCGTTTATAACTATATCCGCTATAGGAAGTTTAAGTTAGAAGGGAAAAAGGTAAAGTTAAAGTTTATATATATAAAATTATAGTATTAATCGGAGTAATTTCTAAGTTCGTAGGAGTTTCAGCTATATTATTAGATATTATTAAAAGGAATTAGCGCTGGAAAAACTAAGGAAAAGGTTAAATTAGTTAAGAAATATAAGGTTAAAGGACGGTAGAATATAGGAATAGTAAAGGTAACTATTTAGCACTAAAATAAGCTTAGACTACCGCCCTTATACGACGTGTTACTAATACGGCCTAGCACCGAAGAGATTTCACACGCCTACCTCCCTATATTATATATTCTAACTCCGTTAATTATCTTTAATAGCCTTATAGAAGCTCGTATAATTAGGAGGGGGAAGATATAGAATTCCTATTAGGTAATCCCCGTTACTTAGATCTTATTTAGCGTTAGGCTAGTATATATAGTACTTAGATAGACTTAGTAGACACGTTAATTAATTTTGCCACGTCTAATTTACCAAAGTTCCCACATCGAATCGGGACTCAGGTCACGGGACTTTCCATAAGTGGAAGTTACGTACTACACAGCAGCTTTGTTATATGCTGAAGTTCCTCGTGCATATTGAGCCCCTCGAAAGTCGTCTATGAACAAGTCTACCATGGTAATGAGATGGTGATGTCGAGTAGGACTTTTTATAAATGCTTAGGAGTGAATGGGTTAGGAGTGAAAGCACCAGCAGGTCTGGCTTTATATCTCCCTCTCATGTTTCTTTTGTACCTCAAGTGTGGGCATTGTAGGACCATAGGGAGACACGAGCGGTCAACATGTGATTAAACAAGATAAGCTGACGAAGACTGCTCCATGCTGTCACAGTAAGATAGAACTGCACGTATACCGATCTAGCCGTGGCTTGTACTGAATAGTTAGGCAACGGAGAGCTTATATAAGCTGAACAGCGACTAGTGCTCCGCCATTTCGTGTATCTACGTTGGATTACTCGACCTTAGTACATAGACTTCGCATAGTTCTGGCCTCTATCGTATTCAGCCGTAAGCCCGACTGCGGCTGAATCATTCTAAACAGTTTTCACGAGAATTTGTCCTGTATCCGACCTCACTGTTTCGTGCTATTCAATGTTTTTACACGATGGATAGACTTAGACTCTACAGCTGTCACAAACTAAACATACATATATAGATAGACCTGGGCAGTGATTTGACAAAAGGTAAACCATGAAAGAGATACAGGATTGAAATGATTGAGCAAAAGAAAAAGGTGGCTTGCAGACCGTGGCGCCACATTCCTGTGCCACAGCAACGAGCTGGGCTGGCTCTGATTCGCCAGCTGTAAACAACGCGAGAGACTTATGTTTACTTTTTCACATAGCCGCTCTCTTCATTCAACCACGTAGTGAAATTCTTCAACCTAGGATGAATCTTTCTCAGGCCCTCAATGTCAGCAGCATAGCCTTCAGTCTCGAACCATTTAAACATGAGCCGAAGATCTGCAACAGCCATTAGTAACCCGTAGCCTATGAGGGAGAAGGTTGTGGGGAATTCCATGTTCGCCACCTCCCTAAATTTCGCCTTGGCCTCTTCGAAGGTCAGTTCGTCTCCAGCCAAAGAGATACACTTGTTCTTGTATATCTCGGACTCTGGATTCAGGAAGGCCTGCGCAGCGAAATATCCGATATCACTGGCTGCAATGAGCTGCAGTTTCATGTTCTTGGGTCTCGTGTTCCATAGCGTGCCAAACATCTTCCCGAACCCGCCAAGAGCGTTATCCATGAAGGCAGTAGGTCGAAGTACTGTGTAGCCTATTCCAGCTTGTGAAGCATGCTGGAAGAGATGCTGTTCGATGTTGTGCTTGCTAATGAAGTGAGGTACAGAGGTTGGATTATTGGTTGACTTATCACCATGTCGGTCAACGGATGTGAAAACGAAGAATTTGACGTTCTCCTTAATAGCTGTGTCTATGAGGTTGATTCCTTGCAGTTCCTCCGGATCGAGCTTCCTGTTGACATCTCTGGTACTTTGAATCTGGAAGGTAGATGAGTTCTTCGAATTGCTAGCTGTGTTGGTCGAAACGGAGAATACGCCCCAGATGGGAGTCGAAGTGGCAATTTTCGCGTTGGCAAATGTCCTTGCGGGATCGGTAAGGTCGCCCTGGACGAGCTTTATCTTTGGCGATGTTTGAGCAAGCTTCTGGGCACCGGGTGAGTTTGGGTTGCGAGTGACGGCAAGAATTTCTATGTCCGCGTTGGAAGCAACCAATGCGTTAACAGCGGCACCTCCTTGTTTGCCCGTAGCCCCAGTGACGAGGATCGCTTTACTCATGTTGATTGCGAGATATATAGAGTGTTTGCTAAACGAAAGAAAGACTGATCATTCGAAATCCCAGGAGAGATATATGTCCAATATCGATGCTACCAGATCGATGTCATAGGACAGGTGATGCACGACGGACTTTCACAAACCTTTATACTTCTGCATACATTCTACAATCATGAGATTGTTTACCGAATATACCGATGCGACTGGGTTTAATCGGCGAGCTAAGGCCCGCTACCGATAATTGAGTTGCGAAATATTGCTCCATGTTGGAAAGAGTTCCACTACAGTTGCGTTGGGCCAAAGGTCCGGGTTTAATCGGCGCTTTGGGGCGCCGATCTAACGGTCTTGGACACAACATTATCGCTCGGAATCAAAGCTCGCCGGGCAGTTTGGGATGTGCATGGCGACGCGCGGGCTTTGCGGTGGTGGAGGAAGATGGAGAAGAAAAGAGAGTGTTGTAAAGGCCGAAGTCCGCCCTACGTGACGATTACGTGAAACTAAAGCGTGGTAATTAGCCTGAGGCAGCACCGCACGCTTCGCGGGCTCAGCGATATTTCGCCCCACACGTCTGTCCATTTCATAGCGAATTTCTAGTTCATAGCATATCCTCCTGAGCAAAACACCACGTCAACGACTACGTATAACTCACGAACGCCGAACTGTCCCGCACTGCACAATAGCAGTCATGGCTTCGAAGCTCGAAAACAAGTGAGTCGTTCAGATCGTGATAATCTCTATCACCTTACTAACCCCTCATCCAGCAGACGCACTGACTGGGCCGAAGATGAAGACGAAGAAGATCCTGTCGCCCTCCCACCTCAGCAAATCATCAAAAACAAAGACGGTACTGAAACAATAATAACCTGGTCTATCCGCGACGATGGCAAACGTGTGAAGACAACACGTCGCATCCGCAAGACGGTGGTAAAGCAAGTCGTTAACCCACGCGTCGCCGAGCACAAGCAATGGCCTAAGTTTGGCGCAGAGAAGGGTAAGCCCATCGGCCCACAAACGGACACCACCAGTGTCGCAGAGAACATTGCTTTCCGCCCAACTGCGAACTGGAAAGCTGGTACCGAGGACAAAGGCGAGCAAGAAAAGAAGAAGGCCAACCTGAAGGATGCGAAGATCAAGTGTCGTATTTGTTCCGGGGACCATTGGACGACGAAGTGTCCGTTCAAGGACACGATGGCACCAGAGGGTGACCCAACCCCGGCTGAGACCATCGATGATGTGCCGGAATCAGGATCTCTCGGCCAAGGCGGTTCAAGTTACGTGCCACCACACTTGAGAGGACGGACGGGTGGTGCGCCGACAGGGGAGAAGATGGGCGGAAAGTACGAGAGAGACGATCTCGCAACACTGCGTGTTACCAACGTGAGTTTTCCGGCTAGAAGCCTCTCATTGCGGCTATCTTTCTCCCGTACTTACTAATTAAAATAACAGGTATCAGAGTTCGCCGAAGAGCAAGATCTTCGCGACATGTTCTCCCGTTTCGGCCATGTCACCCGTGTGTTCCTTGCCAAAGATCGTGACACAGGCCGCGCTAAGGGTTTCGCCTTTGTTTCCTTTGCAGATCGAACCGATGCTGCTAAAGCATGTGAGAAGATGGATGGTTTTGGTTATGGACATCTTATTCTGCGCGTTGAATTCGCTAAAAAAGCGACCTGAGGAGCGAAGATGCGTGTTTGAAAGCAAGACAGGGGGTTATTGCTTTTTACGCATTGGCGGGCGTTTCAATGATCACAATATCGTGCGTAATCCACGAGTAGAACGAATCACGAGCACGCAGTTGTCATGCTACTCCATTCTTCAAGTGCCCAATACGAAGTAAATCGTGTCCTTGTCTTATCGCTGTAAAATACCTAGTAATTTGCTCTATCACCTCACAAGTGCAAGAGCGACCTAATACTAAGACATGGGACTGGGCCCGGGGCGCATAAAGCGATTGACAAACATCAACAAGTCCGACACCTAAACTCTTTCAGCAGAGATCATACGATAAGAGCAAGCTTACACGGACGAGAAGATTCGAGTACGAAGCTTACGTTGCTAGGCAAAGATCGGCCCCCAAAAGCTTGAACGTTCAAACTTTAGATAATAATTATATAGACTATTTGCTTACGCAACTACAGCTTCCACTCTCTCACTCATATAACGAGTTTCTTCATCAAGTTCGTGACCATTAACAATGGGATCAAACGACATCCCTCCACCACACGTCCCCAAACACGTCGTTCCAACATGCAACGCTCTCCTCCAACTCGGTGGCTCCCTTTGGACACTCACCTACATCTTATACACACGGCAATCCTTCCGCGATAAATCATACGGCATGCCTCTCTTCGCGCTGGCGCTGAACTTTGCCTGGGAACTTGTATACGCACTCGTCGTCGCCGAGTCGCTGCTCGAGAAAACCGTCTTCACTGTCTGGCTTGTGATTGATTGCTTCATGGTCTATGGCACTGTGAAATATGCTCGGTATGAATGGTCGCACGCGCCACAGATAGCAAGGAATATGGGGAAGATATTCATCGTGCTGGCTGGGCTAGCGATCTGGGGCCAATGGGCATTTGCGAAATGGTGGATTGACAATGATGTTGGAAGGAGAGAGGGAAAGTTTTACAGGGGCGTCGTAGGACCGGACACAACTGAGCTAGGGTTTTGGAGCGCGCTGTTTAATCAGGTCTATCTGAGCGCTGCGAGTTTGGCAGCATTGGGCGTGAGGGGTCACTCAGGAGGTGTGAGTTGGGGAATATGGTCAGTATCCTCAAATCCAACATAGGCCCTGTTGACGTTTGATTCAGGGCAACGAGAGCTTTCGGTAGCGTGTTTGGGCTGTATGCTGTTTATGCTTGGGAGTGGTATTTCTGGAGAGAGGCCCATGGGTATGTCATGAACCCATTTGCTGTGTTCATGTGGGGAGTCAGCATTATTTGCGACGTTGTCTACCCATTTGCCCTCTGGCGGATCAAGAAGACTGAGAGGGTGCTTGCTGATGGTCGGAAAGTCCCATTTACGTCTCCTGTGCTATCTTCGGCAAAGGTAGATTAAATCGTGGACCGACACAGGCTTTGATAGATAGAAATAGAAGCTGATATAAGTGGGATGGTGCCTGCTCTCTTGATACCCTATTTTATATAAGAGGTCGTTGCGAACGCACTATTATGATTTTGATACAGATATGCCTGAATGACCTCAGGACCGAAGCAAAGAAAGCTCTTGTGGCGTCTGCTTTATATGTGTCCTACAGAAGATGTATCGGTATACGATGACGTGAACACAAATCGTAATGCTATGCAGAAATCATGTATGGAAATGTAGAAGTGTAGGTGGCAAAGTGGTGGTGTAATTAGATCGGCCCGATCTTGGTGTCAAAGGAGTTGGTCTGTCGCGATTGCGCACGTATCGCAACTTTATCTTCATCGGTGCGGTGCATAAGCTGAGCAGTCCGTAAGCTAAGGTAGAATCTAACCGATGACATTTATAAGGCTGTTAGTGATAGGGTAGGTTCTGTTGGGAACGAACACGTCCAGATTCTCGTGAGTCGTGTCTCGCAAGAAGACAACAACAACGTCCCGGCGCCGAGGCACGACCAGGAGGCTGACGCTGGAGTCTGGTAAGGCTTGGCACCGAGCTGAGAAGACCGTTTCGTATTAAGAAGAAACCTCGAAGCTGGCTTGTCTTGCGAGAGGCAGTGCATCTCCCGGTGCTGGATGGCCAGATAGAGACGTAAGCAACCTACGAGAATGTCCATACCTCAAAGGCTTGGAGTGAACAGTATACTAGAGCAGTTCTCGAGCTAGGCTAAGTTATTGGATTGCTGCAAGGGCGCTCATATGTAGTAGATTAATTGCTTTGCTTTAGTGTGTGCGTGGGTGTGGATCATTATTCGGAACTTGATCCTGGACCTACTAATTATGTGCCGAGGCCGCCGCCAGTTCGGTGCAAGGTTCCCCCAGGATCGTTGTTGAGGCCAAGGTACCTGACTCAATTTGTGAAGTATCAGCTTCGCATCAAGACGCCTCAGGCGATCAGTGGGGAATGAATCAGGCCCTTCTACTGGCTCATGTACATGTATGAGTTTAGGACTTATGTGGATGGCACGATATCGAACCAGTTATGAAAGCGGCATAAGAACGTGAATTCCATCAGGTTGTATCAGGTCCCGTGGAAGAAGTTGGACCGGAAATGTCATAGGAAAGAGATTTGATTGGTTGACTGCCTGCCTCAATCTCAGTATTGGTCAATATTACTAGTGAGTACAGATTCGTATGATAATATCTCCAGGGCTACTATTAATTCGTAGGATCCTGGGAATCTGCAGGCGGCCGTGTGATGACGCTGGCCCAAGCTCTGTTGACCTAATAGTAGGCTTAGTAGCTTTCCACTGCCCAGCTTCTCCGCCCGTGTGCTGGTCGTCAACACCCTTACCGCTTGTACTGCGCTGTCAGTACAAAGCCAGCCAGCCATTATCCCCTTTCTCCCTCTATCGCACACCCGCTGTGTTCTTACACACCTAAACTCCCACCCGAATATCAAGTCTGTGTCGACAGGGAAGCTTGTTTGAAGCGCAGTACGTGAACTTGCCACCGCGAACACCTCTGCTACGTAACCGAGGGTCACCGTGTACTGCCACCTGGTCATTCTGCTGACTTATGTGTCTCAGCGCGCAACCTACATTTCCATTCAATCGACCGACGGAGGTAGAAAGCCACCATGCCGCAGGACCTCAAGACATATATGCCCCAGGCAAAATCACTGAAGCCAGGCCCGCACACCGTTAATGCTCCTGGCTTCGAAAAAGTAGATGGCGAGACGATACCACGACGCAACGTCAAGGCCAAGGACAAGTTACACTCAAGGCCACTCGAAGAGATTAAGACTATCCCCGATATACTCAAGTATGCGTCTACAAAGTACGGCAATGCGAAATGTGTGGGTACTCGCAAGCTGATAAAGTTGCATAATGAGACCAAAAAGGTCAAGAAGTTGGTCGATGGCAAGCAACAAGAAGTCGATAAGAAGTGGACATATTTCGAGATGAGTGGCTACAAGTATCAGAGTTTCTCTGAGTTTGAGAAGCAAGCTCTGCAATATGGCGCTGGTCTTCGGAAGCTCGGGTTGACAGCCGGTGACAAAGTCCATCTTTATGCCCCCACGAGGTAATTAGGAGCTGCGTGACGCTACTGCCTATATTCAATACTAACATTTGTCAGTGCCCACTGGCTCTCCATGGCACACGGTGCCATGTTTCAATCCATGGCCATTGTTACCGCCTATGATACCCTGGGAGAAGAAGGATTGACCCACTCGATCAAACAGACCCAGTCCAAAGCCATGTATCTGGACTCAACTCTACTGGTCAAGCTTTTGAATCCTCTATCAGCTGGAGAGAATCTCAAGCACCTCATCTATGACGATGCGACCGAGGTCAAGCAGGACGACATAAGCAAACTGAAAGAGAAATACAATGACGTTGAAATCATCAGCATCGCAGACCTTCAGAAGCTGGGTGAAGAAAACCCAGTTGAGGCAGTCATGCCAAAGCCCGAGGACTTGGCCTGCGTCATGTACACATCGGGATCAACGGGAACTCCAAAGGGCGTCTTGCTAAAACACAAGAATGTCGTCGCAGCACTAGCTGGTGTTAACCCGGTAGTCGGCCAGTACTTGGGTCCTGGTGACAGTTTGTTAACATATCTCCCATCAGCTCATATCTTTGAATTTGTATTCGAGAACGCTGTACTGTTCTGGGGAGGCACAATGGGCTACGGTAACGGCAAGACTCTGTCCGACACCTCTATGCGCAACTGCAAGGGAGATATTCGTGAATTTAAGCCAACGGTGCTGATTGGTGTACCTGCGGTCTGGGAGACTGTGAAGAAGGGGATTATGGCCAACGTACAAAAGGGTGGAATGCTCAAATCCAACATGTTTTGGGGTGCATATGCTGCTAAAAGCTTTATGTTGAATAACGGCATTCCTGGCTACGGCTTGTTGGACAGCATCGTATTCAGCAAGGTTCGACAGGCTACTGGTGGAAGGCTCAGGCTTTGCTTGAACGGCGGCGGACCCATTGCACAGGACACCCAACGCTTCATATCTATTGCAATCACCGCTATGATCAATGGCTACGGCTTGACCGAGACATCGGCCATGGGCGCCTTGATGGATCCACAAGCCTGGACTGACGATGCACTTGGCGAGTTACCGACTAGTATCGAGACCAAGCTGGTCGACTTTGCCGATGCTGGATACTACTCCACTAATAAGCCTCGCCCACAGGGCGAGATCTGGATTAGGGGCGACTCGATCTCTTCTGGATATCTCGATCTGGATGATGAGACCAAAGAATCTTTCACAGAAGATGGTTGGTTCAAGACAGGTGATATCGGAGAATTCGATGAGAGGGGTAATCTCAAGATCATCGACCGTAAGAAAAACCTGGTCAAGACCCTGAACGGCGAGTACATTGCTCTTGAGAAGCTCGAATCAATCTACCGGACTCATCCAGCCGTGCTAAATATCTGCGTCTATGCTCATCCTGAGCAATCGAAACCAATCGCAATCGTCGTTCCTTCAGAGCCAGTAGTGCAGAAGACTGCCACCGAGAATGGTATCAAGGGCGGCGATATCGAGGAGCTCATTCACAATGAGAAACTCAAAGATATTCTGCTCAAACAGTTCCAAGAGGCCGGGCGCAAAGGCCGTCTCGCTGGTTTTGAGCTCATCGATGGGCTTGTGCTCGCCGATGAAGAGTGGACACCACAAAATGTAAGCTACTGCTAATGCTGTGTAAATACCGTATGCTAATAGTACTTAGGGATTCACTACTGCGGCTCAGAAGATCGACCGTAAGAAGATCTTCACGAAGTACCAGAAGGATATAGACCGTGCATATAGCAAATAGAGAGGCCCACAAGAAGGTACTTCATGCTGAAATGAAGATGCAAGGCCAGGTGGTTTCGTCGTATCTGTTCAAGTATAACTTATATTATTGCGAGCCCATGATGCTATGAAGCCCATTTTGTATGTAATAATGGATACCTCAAGTACATAGCTGTTTAATCTGATTGCCTCTGACTCAAGCTGCTTGATATATGAGATACCGGCCACGTTGGGGTACTGGGCACCAAAGAGCACATTTATGAACCAGAGGCCCAAACAGTGGCTTCACATCAATTGAGTAATAGGTACAGGCACATGGCGCTGTGACGTATTGAATGTGTGTGAAGAATGAGTATGTCATGTGAAAGGTACCTAGGAAGTCTCAGCCAGTAGAAGCCACTATGACTAACATGGATGGGTCTTGTCGGCACGCAGCCTAGCAGCCGCAAGGTCGCTTGTTATCGTGGCATATTCAACTTCTGAACATACAGCACAGCGCCTCTATAACATGCTGAATGTTCCTCTACCATCTCGATTTGACTACCGCATTGCGACCGTCGCTTCTTCAGGATGAAAGCTTATTATACGTGCAAGATGTAGTGGGGTTGTATGAGGGGTACGCATCTACTTTATCTTCCTGCGCATCCAAGAGTCCGTCTGACAAGCCACAGGAAATACAAGATACCCCAGTATCAGAATGGACATGCATATTTGACATCACATCGTGCGTGTTATGTCGATAATGAAGAGCCGAGGCGCAACAGCGTAGCTGTAAACCTCAAGGATGTTGACCGCGCCGATTTCTACGTACGTCTATACAACTAGACTTTTGGATATTGTCTCTCTGATAGAGGTTAGGCTGGGTTTCTGAAATCGTCTGCGAAAGTCAGCATGTTTCCGAAGGCATCGAAGCATGGACTCGGCCAGTTTCATACTCTCCAAAGCCATAATACAAGGCACAGTCCTTCAACAACACCGACTTCTCAGTCCAGTCCCCTAAGACCGCTGACCCCAGCTCCTCCACCTGCGCCTGCAAACATCAACGCTACTTGGATCTGTCCTATATGCTCCTTCTCAAACCCGGTACCGTCAAATTTCGACGCAGCCACGGCTAATGCACGCACACCTCTTCCACCATGTCTCGCTTGCGGTATCAAACCACCCTTGATCACCGTCACAAAGGCAGCTTTGTCTGCGCTATCCAACAGACCTGTGAAGCAGCATATATCAAGCAAGATGGAATTAAATTCGGCTTTAGAGTCACCTGACTGCGCGCGTGTTTCTGCCCTACTGTCGACAGATTCCATCCAGTGTGCACGCTGTACCTTTCAAAACCATCCTTCATTGAGTACTTGCGAGATCTGTGGGGCCTCATTGGGATCCAAGGCGGAGAGCCGTACGGGCTTGGAGCAACACTCACAGAGATCAGAATCGCCCGGCCCATCACTACCAGGACCGTTATCACAAGATGACTCCGTCGCATGTATCAGGTTTTCTTTCCGTGCCGGGGGCGAGAAGGTCTTCTATGAACGACTCAAGACTGCATTGACTCAACGCAAATGGCTTTTGCAAAACGCACCTCCGATACCAGCGCCTAGCCCTAGCCCCGGAATTTCAGGTTCAGATCAGCTCAGTAAGACTAGATTTGATCAAGATGCCCGCTCTCGAGGCTTTGGCATAGCCGGTCTGGAAAGAAGAGGATTTGAGCAAATGAAGAATAACGAAGTCGTCATTGGGACTGCGTTTGAAGATCTGGAGGCGCTAATGACATCAGCGAAGGAGATCATTGCTTTGGCAGAATCATTCGCGTCCCAGGCCAACATGAATACAAATGGCTCATCCGAAGTTGATGCCGCATTGTCTCAGTCTCTCTCTGAATTGGGCCTTGCCACGACTAGGGACAAGCTGAGCTCGAAGTCGGAGTCGTTGTATATTTCCGAACTCTCTAGAAACATGGCTGAATTTCTGACTGATGACAAACGGGGAATTCTTCGTAGAGAGGGCGGGATAATGACGCTTGTCGACCTTTGGGCCGTGTTTAATCGGGCTCGAGGAGGCGTTGAGCTTGTCAGCCCTGCGGATTTCGAAAAAGCAGCTCAGATGTGGGACACTCTCAGGCTACCTGTAAGACTTCGCAGATTCAAGAGTGGATTACTTGCAGTTCAGGGACGCGACAGGACTGACGAGAAAACGATTGCCAGCCTTTTGAATTGGCTGAAGAGGAGGCATCATGAACCACCATCGGGAGATGTTGGATGGGATTGGAATCTATACGGTAGGGGAATCACAGCCCAGGAGACTGCGGAAGAGTTTGGATGGAGTGTTGGTGTTGCAACCGAAGAGTTGGAAATGGCAGAGGAACACGGTGCTTTATGCCGAGATCAGGACTTTGATGGACTCCGGTTTTGGGAGAATCGGTTTCTGGTGGAACCTCCTCAGCCGTAGTCACATATAAAAAACACAAGTATACGCCATACATCAAGCACTCATATGACTATCTGTATTGTGCTTTCAACGATGGTCGGATAAAGTTAAGCCCTCGCGCCAATTCCGGAGAAAATTCCGAGCGATCTCCGAGAATAGTAATTCTGGTGATGACGTGCAGATGAAAACTTTAGAGTCCGGGCGACCCTTCTCATCCACCATCTGCAAGGGCGGCATCACTTCCTCGAAGCCCCAAGGACCGTTAATCATTAGGACATATGCTTGCTGTCGTCCCAGTCGTCTTGTCCAAGAGGAGGGAACATGGGGACCGGCGAGCCTACTCGAAGCCCGACGTCAACCTCACCGATTCCGACAGCAGCGATAGAAGCAAACGACTGGGCGACGTCGCGTATATCCAGAACTCCGTCAATTGACTCTCCTGTCATGGCGCCTGTGACGACGTGGAATACGAAGAACCTGGGTCTGCGACTCGGAGTCGATCTAGCTTCAGCTGCAACAGCAGGAGCGCTCGTAGCTCCATTGATCACCATCATAGACCGGTACGCAGCAGAGAGACAGCAGTTCTAGATTTCAAATTGCAGCAACCACCCCCCCCTCCTAACCAAGATTTTTCCAGTGGTATAATCGAAAACTCGTCCGGGCGCAACACGCTCGGCCAGAGCCTCCAGTCCCAGCTCAAAAACCTCCTCCTCCGCCCCCATCGCTTCCTCATCTCGAAGCCCTTCGCCCTGATCTTCGCCCTCTACACGGGCACATACATGACCGCCAACGCAATAGACACGGCCTCGTCCACGCTGCGCTCAGAGAGTGCAGACAAGGTGACATCCGGCCTGCCCAAGTTCCTCGCCACCTCGACGGCCAACCTCTCGCTCTGCCTCTACAAGGACTCCCAGTTCACAAAGCTCTTCTCCACACACAAGTCCCCGCGCCCGGTGCCGCCACTCACAATGCTCCTGTTCGCACTGCGCGACTCCTGCACCGTCTTTGCCTCCTTCAACGTCCCGCCGTTGCTCGCGCCCAGGCTCGCCGACCGCTTTGGCGCGGGCCTGGAAAGACACGTTAGCAGTGCTACGGCGGCGCAGTTCCTCGCGCCTGCTGCCGTGCAGGTTGTCAGTACGCCGCTGCATCTGCTCGGGCTCGATCTGTATAATCGGGACGGGGTGCGGGCGCGCGAGCGCGTGGCTAAGGTTGCGTCGGAATGGGGCAAGAGCTGTCTTGCGAGGATCGCGCGGATCGTGCCGGCGTTTGGGCTTGGGGGTGTTGTGAATGCGCGGATGCGGTGTGGGTTGATGGCGGGGGTTGAGTAGGATGGACGACGGATGGACGGACAGATGGACGTTCAGACATGACATTCGGCATTGGAAGAAGGAGTGGTTGGTTGTACAATAGACGGGGTTCACAACGGCATTTACGGGGCGTTTTCAGCTGGAGTTTCTATGTTTCATGGACGGTCCATGGGCGTTGGTTGTTCAGGGTAATCATCTCCACTCTTGACGATCTCCACGATGACGAGAAAAAGGCATTCTCTCGTCGTCGGAGGAGGGACCTTGCGACGACGAGGGCGTTTCAGCAATGTACATAGGTGTATCGGATATGGTAATAATAGGACACCACACTAATAAGATTGCATCAAACGTCATTGGTTCATGGCATGGATGGATAGGTGGACAGGTTGATACCTGGGGTGAGGTAGGTAGGTAAGAGAGATTAGGTCATGATGAAGCGAGTGGATGAGCATCCAGTATCTCATTGGAATATTCAAATTCTAGCACGTATACCTGCAGCTGGCTTCCATGCTTCATCCTCCACCCTCCATCCTCCTCCATCCCCCATCCTTCGTCCAAGTGCAAGTCCAAGCCTACTAATACATACCCACTATACCCAGATACACCTCATCCCATTACCCCCCAAAAAAAGGTCCATGCGATGCGCCTGCCTACTCCGTACAGTAGTAACCAAGTACCTACCTACCTACCTACCTACCTTCCTTCCTTTAGACTACATACCAGACACATCCCTCCCCTCGCCCCGCCCGCCCCGAGCGCGCGGTTCACAGCATGATACGCGCGCGCGCTTGGGATTTCCGTTTTCCGATACATCACAATCCATAGGATTATCCGTGGGTCAGCCAGTGTCTGGGGATGTTGGTTGGTTGATTGGTTAGTTGGTTGATTGATTGATTGATTGACTAGACTGACTGAGTGCTTCTACGGTGCTGATTGTAAGGTGGGGAATGGGAGGAGGAGGGTGTATGTGTGTATGTATGTATGCTTTGATGTATCCAATGCGTTTTGTACGTATGCCGAAGCGTGCAGTGGCATTCCTGCGTGTGCCAAGGTAACCGTACGTACAAACGGCGGCATAATGAGGTGGCATTCAGCCAGCTCAGCTAGATGTCTCCACGCCTGTTGTTGGTGTCAGCGAAGAGCGCTAGAGAATTTCGAATGCCAGTATAGATGAACGAAGCAGATCAGAGGTTGCGTATTTAGAATTGCTAATCAAGCACCCGTTGAAGAGTGTCATAAGCTGCGATAATTTCTCTTTGGAAAATTCATCATAATAGTAAAGTGGATCAAGTAAAGGAAGGACTGTACCTTTTCTGCGATGAGGGACTTAGCAGTATACCCTCGTCTTAGAGATGCGACGGCCAAGGTCGAGGTCAAGCCTTTCTCAAGCATTCCCAAGCCTCAAGCCTCAACGTCCCGAGGTCACCACTACAAGGCTCAAGCAGAAGCCAAGGAGCAGCTAGTACTTGTAATTAACCAGACGGAAGGGCGGCGGCGGAGGTCACTAACCGGCAATGATGGGATTCCAAAACCCCGCGCTGTGCTGACGCCGATGAGATAATCCTTACATGTTTGGCCGTACCTGCCCTATCCTGAACACTCTGGCTGGGGTAATCCCTTCCCTTTTGCGTTGACGCACCTTCTCGATGCGAGATGGCGGGCGCCACATCTGCCCCACCTGAGATTACGCTAGGGTTTGTTTGGCTGCCAGGGTCCGCGCGAGATGGATGCAGAGTGCTGATTGGCTACAGGCGTTGGATGGAGCCATTTGCCTCACCGCGGTCCTTTGATAAACTCTTTACGTTGAGTCCTGTTTGGGTGGTGGATCGATAATGACGATATGATAAACAGCCGTTGGGTGTTACTTGGTGACGGCGTAGGCACCTGCTTGATTCATCTATCCCGCATGGCGTGGGCCCGGGTAGGTCATACAAGCCTAGTCTGTCGTGCTTGAGTGGAACGCCCTCACGGTATGATGAGCACGAGCTGCAGCGGATGGTAGAGAGACTATAAAAGAGACTTTTGCCCCGTGTGATGATGTTCTTTCTCCTCTGTCATTGCTAGATCCAGTCCGAATTGAGGAGAAACGGTTGACATCATGGTCGTTGGTATCGCGTCGTTGTTCGTCTCAGCCCTTGTGGCGACGCAGGCCATTGCTACGCCCATCAAGGCGCGCTCGCCCTACGCCGTCAAGGAGAAGCACCTCAAGCCTCGTGCCTGGAGGAAGCTCGACAAGGCTCCTAGAGACCACTTGATCAATCTGCAAATTGCGGTCAAGCAGAGCAACTTCGAGCAGCTTGAGAAGCATCTGTACGAAGGTAAGCCGCAATTTCAATTGGACGGTTTCATGCCGTATCTCTGCTGTTGCTCGCTTGGAGAAGCTTTGACAAAGTCCCCCCAAGCCGAGGTCTTATCTCCTCTGCTCTTGTGGCGTATGGATCCAGCTCCGGACGCTGACTCGTCTTTACAGTCTCCGACCCGGCCCACCCCCGCTACGGCGACCATCTGTCCGCGGACGATGTTACGGAATTGATCAAGCCGACCGACGATTCTCTAGACCAGATCCATGAATGGCTCGAGGAGAATGGCATCGTGCCTACTGCGTACAGCACAGCCAAGGATTGGATCCATGTCACGCTCCCGGTCGAGACTATCGAGCGACTCCTCGATACCGAATACCACACGTTTGAGCATGCTGACGGAGGCCGTGTTGTACGCACTGAGGGTTGGTCGCTCCCACGCCATCTGCATGCACACATCGACACCATCCAGCCCACAACGTCCTTTTTCCGTGCGCGCGCCGCAAGCGTCGACTCCTTCGTATCTCCTATCTGGGAAGCGCAGGACTTCAGCATCAATGGCCTCGCGGAAAAGAAGATGAACGACCCTGAGATTGCAAAGGTGTGCAATGTCTCGTCCGTGACGCCCGAGTGCTTCAAGACCCTATACAAGACAAAAGGCTACAAGACTCAGGCTGCTGATAAGAACGCAATCGGCTTCACCAACTACCTTGGCGAGCACCCCATCCGCTCAGATACGGAGCAGTTCCTTCAAAAGTACAACCCCGAAGCCGTGTCATCCGCGCGTGACTTCAAGCAGATTGTCATTGCAAACGGCCCCGGCGACCAGCCTCTTACACCCGCTGAAACCGAAGAGGGCACATCGAAAGAAGCCAACCTTGACGTGCAAGCCATTGCTGGAATCAGCTACAGCACGCCCATCACCTCATACTCCACCGGTGGCAGCCCGCCATTCATCCCGGACATCAACACCCCCACAAACACCAACGAGCCCTACCTCGTTTGGGTGAACTACCTGCTCGACCAAAAGTCCTTCCCTCAAGTAATCACCACCTCGTACGGCGACGACGAGCAGACCGTCCCCAAGTCCTACGCCACACGCGTGTGCCAGCAATTTGCCCAAGTCGGTGCCCGCGGCACCTCCCTGCTCTTCAGCTCTGGCGACAACGGCGTCGGCCGCTATGGCACATGTGTGTCCAACGATGGCAAGAACACCACCATGTTCCTACCCTCGTTCCCGGCGGGCTGCCCATACGTGACGACGGTCGGCGCGACGAAGAACTTCCAGCCTGAGGTCGTCGCCTACCGCGCTGCCTTCACCGGGCCGGATGGTGTGACTCGAGGCAACTACACGTCTGGCAGCGGCTTTTCAAACTACTTTGAGGCACCGGGGTATCAGAAGGAAGTTGTTAGCAAGTACGTAAGTGATCTGAAGGGCAAGTACGATGGCTTGTACAACAAGAAAGGCCGTGGATACCCCGACATCTCGGCTCAAGGACTTTACTTTGCGTATTTCTGGAACGGGACCGAGGGTGTGATATCAGGAACCAGTGCAAGCTGCCCACTGACAGGTGGAATTCTGTCACTGGTTAATGATGCGCTGATTGCGAGCGGCAAGCGACCCTTGGGGTTCTTGAACCCGTGGCTGTACTCTGTCGGATACAAGGGCCTAACGGATATCACCGAGGGCTCCGGAGTCGGCTGTGGAGTGGACGGATTCCCGGCGACAAAAGGATGGGATGCGGTCACCGGACTAGGAACGCCAATCTTCCCTGAGCTGGTGAAGCTCGCTGGTGGGAAGCTTCCGCATCAGTAGAGGTGTTTCGTCGTACGCTGTTGAACAGTCAGCACAGCTGCTCTACGCACGTGATGTAAAGTTTAGAATGCGTCTTTGCACTCCATGTTAATATTAAGAAATAAATCTTTAGCTCACTCTGCCACTATCAGCGTCTGTTCTATTTGTGATTGCTACGCCGACTGGTCAGAAGCAGACAATCCGGTGGATCAATGTCAGTTTGTGTGCTGGGTGGACTTGTAATTGCGGTAATATTGCTACAATGAAGTAAGTCATGCCTCGAGTATCGCGACTCCTAACGCCTATTACAGGCTGCCTCAAGCAAGCTCATCCTCGAGCGAAAGACTATTCGGAGTCGTCGATCGGAAACTCATACACCTGATATGTCAGCAGAGCCTCAAAAATCGACGGCCCACAGCGACTCTCACCATGTCGACCCAGTTGCCACCGCCATAAGTAGCCTTGCTCTTGCCTTTCTTTTCGAAGCCATGCTTTTCGTAAAATGGTACCAACTCATCGTGCGCCAGCAACACGATCCGATCTGCAATCTCGGCATTCTGCATGCGCTGCACATAACTCTTTAGGATGGTGGATCCAAGGCCGATTTTCTGATACGCAGGAAGAACAGCAAGGCTGTGTAGAGCGATAGTGCGGCCTTCCTCCTTGTGACCAGCCTTTGACATGGAATGGCGCTCAGTCTGCCAGTTCTTGGGCAAATCCATGTCTTCATCTGACACCACGTCGTTTGTTGTCTTTGTGGAGACGACGTGCGCGATCAGTGTCGATGATGCCGTATGTAGCGTGGCGTCTTTTTGGAGATTTGCGGGTGCGTCTTTCGTTGGTGTTGCGGTGAACATGCCCAGGGAGAGCTCGCCGCAGACGGAGAACCTGTACTCGAACTGCACATGTTGGTTAGTGTGTAGTCTCATGAAGCGGAAGTATCTCCGACTGTCGATAGCTAATGCCCTTGCAGTCACAAACAACATCCATGCATGATCTTGAGACCGGGCAGAAACAGGCGGTCAGGCACATGCAGGCTCTTCGATTCCGGTGAAGGCCCGTTGAAGAGCGTCTGCGCGACAACGGACAAGTTGCATGGTCGAAGCATGAGTGAAGAGGCATTCGTCCCGTGTCTTTTGTGCAAGCCGGATTCGAATGTTTGGAGGCATCTTGCATCAACACCGTTGTTGTGTACACAAGTCAGGGATTGCGGGATAATGGTGTGGCGTAATTGGTTCGTGGAGCATCAGTCCTGGGAACGAATGCTGTGTAGCTGCGGCCAGCGCGAGCAGTTGACCAAGCATCAAGTAGCGACCAGAGGGTAAACGGTAGAGAAGATCGACTGGTTTAGGCACAGTCCACGAAGTGATGGTAGGCTGAAGGCATTGTATGGATCCTGACAACAACATACATGACATGACTTATACGAGCTTGACCGGAGAAGAGGTCGCTTCGAGATGGCTGTACGACCTTTGCAGCGTTCCAAGGGCAAGGAAAGCGAATGGCAAGACAGCGAAAGGAGGCAGATGGAAAGAATCTCACCTTCTCTTTGGTAGCGGCTTCGTGGGGTGGGAATGCAGCGGCCTCTAAGGCTACACAGCTGTCGACATTGGTGACGTTCAGGGTCTGGACGTAGGGATGAAGCTCGTCGCGTTTGCTCTGATTCTCGTCTGGCTCGAAGAAGTAACCTTTGTCCGCAGCGGATGGAGCGCCAGAGATGATGTCTCGGAATGACATTGAGGCTGAAGCAGGAGTAGCTCCACTGTCAGGTTCGCGGGAGAGCTGGGGTAGATTCTCGATGATCTCTCTCTCAGACTCCAAATCGCGGGGCATCTGAGGTGATGTGATATGGGCGACCGGGGGAAATGGTATTGTAGCGCGCGTGGCGCCGGTCTGGGCAGACGTTGGGCAGGTTTTGGAGGAGGAGGAGGAGGAGGAGGAGGAGGAGGAGTGAGAGTTTGGAGAGAGCGATGAATCGAAGAATTAATTGGTGAAGCTGTGCAGGTCTGGTTGGGCACGAGGGCAGCTGCAGATGGGATGAGGTTGAAGGGTTGAGGTACAGGAATACAGTAATAGTAGTGTGGTGATTAGTGACGATGAGGCAGCTTAAGCCCCACCAAGATGAATGGATGGATCCATAGGTGGTCAACGCCTTATTACCCAATTCGGCGGTTTGTGAGAGGAGTGCAATAAGAGGAGGCATCCTGATAATATCAAGTCTGCATCGTCACCGTACATTGGTCTTCCACCTTGTTCTCGCTGGTATATGAGGATGCCGTCAAGCCTGTCAAGCCTGGCAGCACTTGGGCCTTGACTGTGTTGCATTGAGGCGGAGAAGATGATGCCCAATATAGGTGCTGGCGATGGCATACGACAGCGTACAGTAATTAATTAGTAGCTGGATGAAGTCAACAGACTGCGCCACTGTTTGATGATGCACGCACGTTTAAGAGGTGCATATCTTATTAAGCTATTATATCGGCGATGAGGCATCAACAACGATTGAGGGAGCACTTGCTGGCCAGTGCTCCTGAATCCTATATACAGTAGATGGTGGGACTGGGTACTGTGGGAATTAATGATATGTGGTATGGATGGTGCAGTGCCTTCTACACCGCCTGTGCACCAGCGGGGAAGTGAGAACAGGGCTGGCTAATGAGATCTTGAGAGTCTGCAGTGGCTGCCCGTCAAGCCCCCGTGTCAGGGTGTGTCAGGGTGTGTCCAGCGTGTCAGGCTGTCAAACGCAGCCTCTGCATGCCCGCTTAGCCCTGGGGGAACGGGGGGCTTTTGAAGGGTTATTGTGGCGGGCGGGCGGGGAGGTGCTGGCTGGTTTTTCGGTTGGCTGCTCCTCAAGCACTGCGGCTAATTATCTGCTGGGCTGCCCACCCGCCTACCCACCACCACCACCTAATAGGCACCTATCAAGCACCCATCAAGCACCTATCAAGCACCCATCAAGCACCTATCAAGCACCTATTACCAGGCACCTACTACATCCTAGCCACTACCTAATTGCTGCCCCTCTCCCCCAACTTTTAGCACCCACCTCCTCCTTGGCGCGGGGCTCGCAGCTCAGTCTCGTCTCGTCCGTCAACGCGTTTCAGCATCCATCGTCATCATGGATTCAATCCATCCTGCACTCTTGTCTCTTGACAGCTTCTCCCCCTTCATCAACACCCACACGCCGTAAAGCCAGCTGCTATATCATCCTTCTCTTAAGCTTCCATTGCACTCGCCGCTCTTCCTCCCTCTCTTCTCTTTTGTCTCACTAATTACCTTACTCATCCTTGCCCCGCCACATCTTCAACCAGAACTGCTGCTCTACCTGCTGCTGCTGCTCCGAGAAACTCACACTTGCAAGCTGGTCCTTGATTATTAAATGCTCTGCCTCTTGAATCTACTACGCCATTCTACCGCCTTCTAAGCCGAACGCCTACTCAGATCAAGGCCATCATCTCGAATCGTGTTTACAAAGCTCCTCCACTCCTTCTTCACTCAAAGCCTCGCTCGCCTGTCCGTGTGGCTGTCTCACAAAATCGTTGCTCTTATCCACCACCCGACCACCATCCATCCCCGCCGAGCGGACCTTGCTGGACATCCACCATCTCGCCCTCACGCTGCCCTCGCTACCCGTCGTGTCTATAGTATCACTTCTATATCTGTGAGTACGACTTCAATCTGATGCACAAGCCACGCTGACTGATCCTCTGCCGTCCTCTTCAACTCCTCTTCTAGAAGCTTTACCTGCCCAGATACCTCCTCATCCGCCATCTCCTTCCTAAAACGCCGCGTGCGACAGCCTTCGGGTCGTTTTGAGTGTGGCCTGCAGAACGCAACCATGTGAGCGGCCGGCCCAATCCGTCTGCTGTGCGACCTGCGCTAATCTTCCACTTCTGTCTGCATATAGGGCTACCATTACCATATTCATCAATGCTCCAGGTCAGGCCTTGGACCAGGAAGTCATCCCTCTCGACATACCAGACACCTCCATTGCCGCCGGCAAGCTTTCAGTCAGAGCCTTGAAAGAGCTGGTGGCCAACAATGTCGGCTTTTCGGCACAGCATCAGCAGTATTACTTCAATGGCGAGCATCTGAAAGACGACAATCGCCAGATAGACCCAACCGCGCTTAATGGCCAGATGTTGGTCTTGCTTGTGCGCCAGCAAGGTCAGGATACACAGACCCAAGCGCGGACGGCGAACCGTTCCAGGCCTCCTGCTCCAGACAGCACCTACGCACAAGAGGCGGAGACTGTGCGACTGAGAGTGCTCGGCGACTCAAATCTTCTACAACAACTTAAGGAGCAGAATCCTCCTCTCTCGAATGCTATAAATGACTCGGCTCAATTCACCCGCATCTTTAGCGAAATGAAGCACAACGAGAACGCTCGTGAACGTGAAAGACAACGCCAGATTACTCTCTTGAACGAGGATCCTTTCAACGTCGAGGCTCAGCGAAAGATTGAAGAGATGATCAGACAGGACCGCGTCATGGAGAACCTCCAACATGCATATGAAGCTAACCCCGAAGGCAAGTTGTTCCCCGTTATGCATGCCCATGCCGCTGCTGACATTTCTTCTCCAGCCTTTGGAAGAGTCACCATGCTCTATGTGAATGCCGAGGTCAACGGCCGGCCGATCAAGGCGTTTGTTGATTCAGGGGCACAGGTGACGATCATGTCGCCTTCGTGTGCTGAGCAGTGCGGCATCATGCGACTCATCGACACGCGATTTTCTGGCGAAGCACGTGGCGTGGGAACCGCCAAGATCCTTGGTCGTGTCCATCACGCCGAGATCAAGATTGGTGGTGCTGTCATGCCTTGCGCTTTCACCGTCATGGAGGGCAAAGACGTCGATCTGCTGTTCGGCCTTGACATGCTCAAGCGATACCAGGCCAACATCGACCTGGCCAAGAACGCGCTCTGCTTTCAGGGAATTGAAGTTCCCTTTCTTCCCGAGCATGAGATACCCAGACAGATGGAGGAAGCAGCTTTGAGCGAACCTACGATCCCAGGACCGAATGGTACCGAGATTGGAGGCCGTAGTGGCGTCGTACGACCGGCTGGGACTTCTGCAGAGGCTTCAGGGTCAGGAGGTGCTGGACCCAGCTCAGCATCAAAGAACTTCCAAGGCCAGGGCCAAACCTTGGGCTCAAAGGCTCCTCAGACACAGACGCCAGCAGCTGCACAACCCAAGCGCTTCCCTGCTGAAACAATACGGCAACTGACCGATATTGGCTTCTCAGAGACAGAAGCCGTCCAGGCATTGGAGGCAACCGACGGCAACGTCGAACTTGCTGCCGGCTTCCTGTTCCATTGAGTCTTGATATACAAAGTCTACGGGGATTGGCACATTAGAGTCCAGAGTCATTCTGAGCATGTAGCGTCGGCGCACGGTCGGGACGGAATTCTGATGACTTATACGAGCATCTAGACTGTGTGCACAATGGTAGAAATGGCAACAGTCGCATTTTTTGACTTTACAAAAGTGAGAAAAGATGTTGATCTCACAGGGGGCTCTTTGCCTTGCACTCACACGAGCGCGTACTCATGATCTCATCACAGCAGGTAGCATCACCGGTGAACCGTTACAAGCGGCCGTCACACCCCAAATCTTGGAACACTCCAGTCCAGCCCAATGCCCAAACACATAAGCCGAAACTCGTAACCTCGCCACAAGCTCATCCTCCCTCACACCACTCTACCAAATCATATCCAGAGTGGAGACAGTGCAGGTAGTTTATTTACCTTTGCTAGAGGGCCGGTCTGTCTGGTAGGTCAATCCGTTATCGAAGAACATTGTAAATGATTGATATATGCTTATCTATAGTATTTTAGTATACTTCTCGAACTTGTGTAATCAAAGAGCTAAACAGTCGTAGATGCTTACAAAGACTAGAGCACTTCTCCATAGTTCTTCTTTATCCATGATAGGGAGTCTACGCTTACTAAGATAAAGACAAACAGGTTGTTAATCTTGGAAAACGCCCTTTGAGCTCCCCGACATCACTACTACCCCTCCTTAGTAATCACATTCACTTTCAGTGGGTTTCTAATAATGGAAGCTAATTACCATGGAGCATAGACATTTGCGTTAAGAGATGACTCACGGGCACGACTTGGTGTGCTCCTGATGTTTGTCGAGTCTCCATCGTGAGAGAAGAAGAGCAGGTCTAATGCCAAAGACTCCTCTAGGTCTGAGGACCAACAACCGGAACACGAATCTACATTCGCATCAGCAGTCTCCCCCTCACCACCATTCCTTAGCAGTACAAGCACAATGGACAATGCACCCGCCTCCGAACTCGCCCTCATCCCCCCTCCTCCCATATCCTCCCAACCCTCCTCCTCCATCCAGATCCTCCCCCTGAAACCCGAAGACTGCAGAACATGGCAGATCATGCACTACACCTGCCACGCCGACCACATGCGCGACCTCCTCGCCCTTCGCCCCTTCAGCCCCGCGTCCTGGACCCGCGTCGTCGCCGCCCGCGAGCAGGAACTGTCTCAGCCCGGCGTGCACGCCTTCAAGGCCGTCGACGTAAGCACCACGCCACCTACCATTGCGGCAATCGCGAAATGGACCGTTTACGCGGGTGCTAGGGACGAGACGGACGGGCGTGGGGACAGACATGCAGACGGAGCCGCAGACGGAGCCGCAGACAGACACGCAGAAGGAAGTCTCCCGACCGCACCCCCACCGGCCCGCGGCCCTGCTCCGCCCGTCCAGACGGCATATACCGCGCATCCGGACCCCCCGCCCGAGCTAAACGTGCGCTTGTTAAACGCGCTCCTGACGCCGCTGCGCGAGACACGCAAGGAGGTGATGGCGGGCAGGCAGGCGTACGTGATGCTGAACTCCATGACGACCTTCCCGGCGTACCAGCGCCGCGGGATCGCGCGTCGGTTGATGCAGTGGGGCCTGGACAGGGCGGATGAGTTGGGGGTCGAGGTGTACTTGGATGCGTCGGCTGCGGCGCGGAGGCTGTATGAGGGGTGTGCGTTTGAGCTGGTGCGGACGCATGTTTTTGATGTGGAGGCGTGGGGAGGGGGCGTGGGGGAGAGGCATTATACTTATGTGAGTGTGTGTGTTTCTTTTTTTTGGACTTGTGCTGGAGAGATGGATGGGTTGCTTATTGATGCTAGACTTATGTTCGGAAGCGGAAGTGCGATAGAGTGGGGAGTGGGGATGGTGTGGTGTCGGTGTCGAGGTTGGCTTGAGCTTTATTTTGGGGGTGGGCTGAGCGTCTGGATTGCGTTGCTTTGGGATTTCGGTCTGGGTTCTGGGTATAATTATTTGTTGATTAGAGCCTGCGAGCGAGTACTCGTCTTGAGACTCCAGGGCGCGTTCGCATTGCCATTTTGGTCTTACTCTACCAGTCCCGCATGGGCAAATCCCTTTGTACAAGTATAGAAAAAGCAGTACCCCAGAATATCGACCTGTTCTAATGTCAGGTCTCCTGGTAGGTAGGTAGGTAGGTAGGTAGGCAGGGAGACGACAGCTCTGACGTCTCTCTATATCCGGCCTGTAACGGGGCCACACAGCCCTCGAAGCAATCCTCGCGTAAAGTCGACCCGACAATATGTCATGCCGGAGATCATCATCGGTAGACGTCTAGTTCTCGGTAGTGGGGCAGTGAAGCAGGGTACATGGACAAATAACGGTTGCGGCTGAGGAAGCTGTTATCAGATCCGAGCAGTGTTACATCTGCTATGAATGAATCACATGGATGGCCGCGCCGGCTGTGCTAATTGTTCAATGCTGGGTGGTCGTGATGGCCAGCATATACCCTGTCTGGAAGTGAGTCGCATTGTCGTCGACATATTCGAGCTTTGTTTTGATAAACTATTAGATATAAAAAAATAATAATAGTTTGCTATATATATAAAAATATATATATCGAAAAGAATGGAACTGAAGAACAAGGTCGAAAATATGACGGAGTACGCTCCATCTATTCAGCCACACATATATAATTACCATCTATAATTACGCCATGGAAGAAGGGAGGGAGGGAGGTCAAAGAAGAGCAGCATCCCGAGTCGAGCAATGGCTTTACTAATTAGAGCAGACGCTTTCGATCACAACAACAAGAACTAAAAAAGCTTGACCTCACCATCCCATAGCCAAGCGAGCGCCACAAGGACCCGCCTATAACTAATCCATCCCTAATTACCCGAAAGGGATCCCATCCCAATCCTGCAAGGCACCAAAAGGTCACCCGCCGCCGTCCGTGCCGTGCATGGATGGATTGTGAACTCGTTATTTTAAGCGCCCCGGCTAGTACACACACATACATACACACAGACGGTTTAATCATGTACAGCTTGCAGGCATCAACAACAACACAACAGGATCAGGTCTCGGGCGCGTATCTTGGATCCTATCAGACACGACACCTGACAGGACAGGCATCTAGAACTACCCAACCACGGCGAGACTGTGCCGCGAGGCTATGGGGAGCGCTGCAAAGCAAGCAAGCAAGCAAGCAAGCACTCGTGTGGGTTTGGCGCGGTGCGGCGCGAAGACGAAACGGTTAGTATTAGGTGGTGGGAGATATACGTATAGTGTGGGCGTTGCTGATAGAAGGGAGTCCGAGAGTGCACATGGTTTTGTAAACGGTTTCGCTGAGGGTGTATCATGGACTTTGGTTGATAATTAGTTAGAAGAAGGGGTTCTTAGGTGTTGTCTTCGGCAAAGTGGTACATGTGGGCTAAGAAGTGAGTGACTGAGATAGGATAAGCGCCGGGAGTGGTTAATTAGGGCTGCGGGTGAGGCTGAGTACTGGGGCGCGTAGGATCTGGTTCGTGCGCTTCTTTCCTTGACCACCCTTGAAACGGCGACCGGCTCGACTACAGACATCAGGGATCCTTTACCACTGCCTACATACCAGGCATCGTCATTCATCAATCCTCTCTGCTGCATGATGGTGCCCTGCTTGCGTTTGCCCGAAATGAATATCCTAATTCTCAATACCCTGACGGCGTAAAGCGTCACCGTTTATATCCCTATATCCAGAGCCTTCTCCAAAGGTACAAAGCACCCACTTCGTGGTACCCACAACCCACGATAGACCTCACTTATCTTTAGAAGTACTCTCAGCCGATGTGGCATGGTTTATGGACCAAGATATGCGGTAAACATTGCTCGGACCACCGGTACTACCGTAAAGCATGCTTTGTCTTGCCGCCATAAACATGCTGAGGTCGTATATTGAATGCTAGAGCAAATCTAGAGGCGTGAAACAATAGTTCTAATAATGGGTGATCTTGGAGAATATGCTATTTGCGGCCTTGTGCTTCGTGTTTCAAATAAGCATGCTTGGCGGCGCTTGTATGGTCCTCCCCCCATGAGCCCGATTTATAGGCCAAGAGTAACTTATGAAGCGCGCGCGATGGCATTGAGACGCTTGCATTCATTTCCTTTTCACTGATTCGAGCTAGCTTCTGTGCAGCATCGAGGTCTTGAACAGGAACTCCCCTTAACCCAAAACCTCTTTAGAGTCTGGCCGTCTACGTTGTCTTCCTGAAAAGTTTGACCTCTTTGCTTCTACACATATTCATCGTAAGAGACAATGGGTAAGATATACCCAGCATCAAGTTGCGTTCGTGCAGCACTTCTTCTTGCATGTTTGGGTGTGCGTGAGGGTTGCGCCCAAGCTGGCTCATTCGCCCCTACAGCCAAAGTGTGTAGACTCGTGGGTGGCCGCGGTAAGTCTTGTATACCTATGGCTCAACAACTTATTGACTCCCTATAGCGGCATTGTTCGACAACCGCATATTCATGGCTGGTTCAAATGTTACATTAACGGAAGATCCGGCAGGATCCTATCCAACGGACTCTCTGCTTTCGATCGACCTAGCCCAAACACGAGATCTGGCCGACACCTTGACCAATGTGATCAGTACGGCCCTTCCTGCTGGACATCAGAACTCGTCTGCGAACGTAAAGGTTGGAGGGGCCATGTGGTTCGATCGTACAGACATGTACGATCTATCCGTTGCCAGAGACTCTGACAATAAGCTATCGTCTCAGCTATGGCGCTTTACCCCGTTTGGAGAACAACATTCATGGAAACAGTGGGTTGTGACAGGAGAGAAGATGCCGACTGGGGATGGTCTTGGCGCTGCCTATGCTAGTATCAGGCGCTTCAACACCTCTTTCTTCTCTGGCGGTACCTTTGGTAGCTCCGAAGTTGGAATTATCGAACTCAATTCGACGGATCCCGCGGACCCTGTGATTTCCTACAGAAAACCACCAGCTGATTCAATACTTGGCTCAAAACGTACCAAGGCACCAATGTTCTACCTACCATATGGCAACCAAGGAATTCTGGTAATGCTTGGTGGTGTTGTATCCGTAAGTTGGGTGGGAACTAATATATCTCAGACTTGGACTAACAAAGCTAGTTGCAAGCCAACGGCAATGATCTTATGGCTGCCATGGACTCGATTGATATCTATGACATTGAGTCAAGTAGATGGTTTAATACCCCCGCTACCTTAGATCTACCGTCAACGCGGAAAAACTTTTGCGGCTGGGTCACTCAGGCACCTGACAACAGCTCCTCTTTCATTACCATTAATGGTGGCGAAGATAACACTGAATCAAAAGACGACGTCTGTAAGTACCTCTACCGCTGTACGATGGCTGTTTCCTTGCCTAATGCGCTCAGGGGTTCTTACTATTCCATCCTTCAAGTGGGTTTCTATGAATGACTCCAGAGAGACAGGACGGCGGAACCACCATTGTTTCAAACATGGTCACAACAACGGAGTCGTTCTCGGCGGTGAGGTCATCAATAAAGACGATAATAGCGTGGTAGACTGTAGCTCTCCAAAGAATAAACCGGTGTTGAGATCCCTTGATCTGTCTGAATATTATTGGATGGATGAATTTGATCCAGTTGATAAGCCTTTCTCGGTGCATCCAAAGTTAAGTTCCACAATTGGGAGCCAGTAAGTAGTGATTGCACGCGGTTACCCCACTCAATACTTACGAGTTCTCAGGGTTTTCAGCCCAGACCTCGAGCCCAGCCTCAAAGAGATATTCACAAAAAGAATTGCCGATGAGGAACCACCTACCACCCCAACATCGCCTGGAGAGACTCAAAGTGGCCAACCCCCAGATTCCGCACAGACTGACCCAGTACAAACCCCAGGTGGAACCGAATCTCCTGTCGGACCCAACTCAACACCTCCATCGAACAGGAATCGATCTCTATCAACGTCCCAAAAGGCAGCCATCGGTGGCGCAGTGGGTGGTTCGTTCATTGTCTTAGCAATTCTGGGTCTGGCATGCTTCTGGTTTCGCAAGAGGAAAGACCACCGCCCAGACAGATATATGTATCGTTCAAAAACTTCCAGCCTTACGATATGTGAGAGCGAGCCTGAAAAGGATGGGTTTCTACATGTACCAGACAACGAGTACAGTAGCGGCTATCGTGATGCAGTACCTGCGACAATGCGCAAATCTGGCCACTCTCGCATCAATTCCTGGTCCCGACAGGTTCCAGCTCATCGGACGTCATGTTCTGTCTCCTCGGTATCGAGACTAGACGTTCCGGGACAACGGAACTCGTTCTCAGTCTCATCCGTATCCAAACTTGATAATGCAGAAGACTTTTACAGAAACGGTAATACGGGCCCGGGTGGACTGACACCAACGGGACAGACGCCAATGTCGGACATCAGTTCAGTGATGGGAACAATTATTGTGTGTGATGGAGAGAGTCCTGGCATAAACGGCCGGATACCTCAAGCGGGCCAGAGAGCCTCGGTAAGGGAAATAAGCCCGTTCCGTCAGCCGGTGCGAGATCCAAGTCCGTACAGGCCGGAGGATGTAGGCAAGACGTTCATCTGATCCTTCCCTTTGTACTTTTTAGATGTTAATCCATTATTGTTGTACTCTATACCCGCGAGTCTCATCTGTCTATGTTAGATCCATAGTCTCAGAACACGTGTATCCTAGCTTAATGTCAAAAAGCCACGTCCAAGCCACCGTCTTAAGATTCTCACTCAGCTTGAAGATCGACTGGCTATATGTGTCGTTAATCTACCATTTACTCAAGCTCACTAGCCTTGTGTGAAAATCATGGAAAAGGTATATTGAACATTGGCTCATAATTCATACATTCATACATTCATACATTCATACATTCATACATTCATACATTCATACATTCATACATTCATACATTCATACATTCATACATTCATA